CCAGCCTGTGGAGTGGAGGTTTCGTAGTTTGCGTCCCGTTACTACCAAAAGAAAAGAAAGAAAAAATCGCCACGAATTTTGGGCCACGGATGCGTTATAACAACAACAGCCAAATCCTATGGATGTGTTATAACAACAGCAGTCAAATCATACTATACGGTTTGACTAGCGTGAGCAGCGTTAACTAGTTTCCTTCCCTCTAGTCATGCGAGCTAGATCGTATTTCAAGAAATCGTGTAAGATCAACTTTTGTGCTAGCTGTCAGGTTAAGGTGGGAACTTCGCGAAATCTCACGTAAAACAATTGAACAAGCTTTTGAAACAACAAAAACAAAAAGTTAACCAAAATTAATACAAGATTCAACACGATAGTGACTTTTATTAATACAGATCTTTTGTTATGTACATCGTAAGAATCTTTTGCATATTGAAGTTGTTCTTATCCAAAGTATGACCAGATTTCAAACTAGGAAATAAAACACAGATATGTAACTTTAATTGGAATTTTAAAAGCGTCTTGCATTGGAGTCCTTATTATCTTAATTCTATATACAGCCTATTATATGCCTATTAACATCTTCCTTGTAAAAATGTCTGTTTATTTGTTTTTGCTAACTTCCATAAATACTTTAAATGAACGGTTGGAAGAATTATGATCAACAAGTGAAAAAAGGGATTTCTTCAGTTTTATGAAAATTTTAATAAACGGAAACATCAAGAAAGATCATAAAATAACATTCTGATGCCAAGAATCATCTCTGAGATGGAATTTCTGATGGTTTTTATTTAACCCATAATTACTGATGGGGGTACATGTATACCATACAAACTTCTAAATCACATTTTTGTAAACTATGTGTGTACACTGATGTTTGTAGTTCTTGACTTTGTTGGTTACTGTGTCTCTTACCCTTATGAGCCACACAAAAAGTTAAATATATTACCAGTATTTCATTAATCTTATTAATTATTGCTGTTACCCCTTATGTAGTCTTAAATACAAAATGGAGGATTTTACTTAATTATTTTTCACACTTTGTATTGTAACAGAAGAAACATAAAAGCACTTTATACGATGTTATTACTCATTATGGGTAATGAATGGTAGAAAAACAAGTCATTACTTTGAAGGTTTAAAGTGCATCAGGTCCCCAGTATAAAAAAAAAAATATATCAGAATAGATTTTAATAGTCATCTATGTGACAACTTTGGTTTCAAAAAGCATGTATGTGGGAAGGAGAACAGTTTTTGGAGCTGGGATATATATATATGAGGGTATTCTATGAATAAAAATGCAGAGGGACATGCCCCATTTGAAAATTAGTGTACAGTGTGTGTGATATTTCATTACTGTAACTTGAGTAAGACTGGTACTGTATTAAATTACATCATTGTCTGTTGGGACATAATGGGAGTAATAATAGTGTATGTAATAGCATTTCAATTATACCCGGTCTGCTGAATCAAGGACCATCCTGAATTACCAGCTTTTTTTTTAGCTGTAGAGGTTATGCAAAAACCTTAATTGAAATGCTATTTATATTAGCCGCTCATGAGATAGATGGTTTTAGGGCATGAAAAGCTGACAAAGCATGACATGACATTTAGTGTCAAAATGTGTGTAATATAACATCACAATGAGATTGATAATTATATAAATCACATTCTTTTTTTTACAGGTCCAATAAAGGTATTCAGTTGTTTTGATAAAAATCAAGCTATCTCATCTACTAAAATTAAAGCACCTTGAATATTTTATTGCAAAATCAGGTATTTCTTATACAACAGAAATTATAAAATGTCAAATGTATAGGGTAAAAGTCTTGGCTAAATCTAGATCAAATCGTTTATTGTATGCAAAGGTCCGTAAATCATGTTTTGAAATTACTTGTTAAAAATTTTCAGGTGTTACATAGCTTTGTGAGGAACGGTGGATTAGGTATGTTACTTTATTTGTCCTTAAGCACAAAGCTACACAATGAGCTGTGCTCTGTCCACCATGGGTATAAAAACTTGGTTTTTAGTGTTATAATCCTAGAGACTTACCTCTGAACTACTGAATGGAAGGGCAATTGGTTAGAGGAGAACATTAAAAATATTAGTTTTAATTAATTATTCTTCTGGTCTGTAAGTTTTGTGCAACAACTGGTAAGGGTATGGACTTCTTTTACCCTAATTGCTTCATTATTGTTTAGAAGATGAAGTCTTCCAGTTAGTTTAGAGTTTACCTTTTAGAATGAATTAAGTATTTAATGTATTAATTACAAGATTGTCATCTAGTTAACTTTTAAAAACAGTTAATACATGATACTGTATACATATGTATAACTTAAGGACAACAAGAGACCTATTGGTCTATCAAGGTCATCTCATCCACTAAATTAAACTTTGAAATTAAACACTCAGATGTTTATCAAGTCTTCCCTTAAACTTCCTTCAGTTTACTGCATCCACTTAATCCAAAAACCAACCATCTTGTTAGAAAAATATAACTGTCTTAGCTAAAGATGAATCCTACCCCTTCCAAAATTTATATTTGTGTTCCCTAGTCCTACAATTCTCACAAAGTATGAAAAAACATGATGCATCAATACTATCAATTCCTTTAACAATTTTGAACACTTCAATCAGACCTCATCCAAGAAAATAATTTTAGAGATCTTAAACTGTACTTATATGACAACCTTTCTTTCTGAGGCATCATCCCAGTAGCCCTACTCTGAAACCTTTTCAACAATTCAATGTCCTTTCTAAAGTAATGAGTCCAAGACTGAACACAATATTCTAATATTCTAACCTTGGAACAGACTTAATACATCATGTTTTTGTAGGTTGGAGTAGCTGTGAAGGTGCTTGTTTCTTAGTTTTGACCTTTAACCTTATGTTTCTCTTCTTTATATGTTAGATTAACCTTAAATGCTTTTGGAGCAGGCATTAGATTTTATGTGTTTTCATAGGTTGGATCAGCTATGAATCTACTTAGAAAGAAGTCTGATAAGGAATAGTAGAGCCACAGCAAAGGTCATATATAAATATACATGTGGTAACTGTAAAGCCACCTACATAGGCAGGACTACTCACCATTTACAAATAACTCACCTTGGAACACATGGGGGTTT